AAAAAAAAAAAATCACCCTAATAAGGAAAAAAAATTTAAAAGAATTAATTATTAACCAGGAAATCAGTCACAGCGGTGATTTTCCTAAGGAGAGTGGCCCAGTACTATTAAAAAAAAAAAAAAAGCAAAACACTTTTTCAATTACAAGTCAAAAGTTACAAACAAATATCTACAATAATCCATGCTACAGTAATTGGAATAAAATTACAGAGATGATCCAGCCCAACAAATCTAAACTTGTTTGCATGCAAGACAAGACAATAATTTCATACAATTATGCAAATATATTATATATACATATATATATTTGCATTGAGGGTTAGTAGCCTGCATTTGTAAATACACAGTTGAGTTTTGTCTGTGGTCCCCCTATCACCAATCATGACACATTTCCATGTTTGTGGTCAGGAATGGAGAAGCTATATACCTGGACACCATGATGAACAGATGTAGCACTACACATTGTGACACTTTTAACAACGACCCACTTTGCAATGACCAAGATTTTAGGTGAGTGTTGGCAGCCCTTTAATGACCAAGATTTTAGGTGAGTGTTGGCAGCCCTTTAATGACCAAGATTTTAGGTGAGTGTTGGCAGCCCTTTAATGACCAAGATTTTAGGTGAGTGTTGGCAGCCCTTTAGTGCACCAAGATTTTAGGTGAGTGTTGGCAGCCTTTAATGACCAAGATTTTAGGTGAGTGTTGGCAGCCCTTTAGTGCACCATCAAAATGTACTAAAAAAACATATATATTATTTTTTTTTTAAATAGTTAAAAATCTGAAATGTTCAGTCAATGTCTAAATGTTTGGGGGGTTTTTTCCTGTGGGATCTCAAAAGCTCCATAGCATTGTTTAAAAGAAATGTGCGTGAAATTTTAAGTTTTCTTTGTCCGACAATCTGTGCCTGTTGCAGTTGTCAAGACAGTATAAAATAACAAAAATTGTAATGTTTATTAGGAGTATATTTTATTTACGGTTTTATTTTGTTAAAATTTCAGCTGTCAAATTGTTCAAGTGTTTGGCTTTGTGGAATGAGAAGAACAAGTTAAGAACAAAAGAATTTGAAATGTTATGCCCCCCTACAAGAAGAATCACATGGTGTCATCTGAATACCCAGGTGCTGCTTGCCAGATAAGGTTTTGCAGGTCTTGTGTTCTGCTTGCGTTATCTACGAGCTCAATAATAGTTCTCTGGAAGGCCAATGCAGAGTCACAAAAAAAATTATTCTTTGTCTGGAAGATTGGACAAGATTTGGTGCCAAACCCTCGTTACAAGGGTAGAATAATTTGTTTTAATCTTAGGACCTGGAAAAAAAAGAAGATATTTTAAAAATAGAAATGTTCAAAATATAAACTGCATCGCTGATTTATCAGAAGAAAGAGAAATACTTTCACTCGGACCTACCTTCCCCCCCCCCCCCCCCCCCCCCCCCCCCACCAAAAAAAAATTATGTTATCAAGGGGGTTCCTATGTATATGTATTTTAAAAAATTTTATGAAAGATTCGGTATATCAATACTTAAATGAACTACAATAATTTTGGGGGAACTTTATTTGTTAAAAAAGCCAAGGGAAAAAAGATACATGCCACTGACAACAAAAAAGACAACAGGGATTGTACGTTTTAATATGACTTTTATGAGATTACATCACTGTGACTGTGATAGATAGCTGAAAAATTGTTTTATACCTTACTGTACTCTTAAAATATTTTTTTCACTCCAGCTTTAAAAGACATGTACATTTTTTCAAGCTATTGTCATCATTGTGTAGTTGTATGAATCTTGAATAACTTGGAAAAAGCTGTTCGCTTGGGCTAACATTAATCATATGTGAAATCCCTAAGATCTTGTCTTAAGAGATGTATTACTTTTATTTATTCCCCCCATTTTCACACATGTTTTTTTTTTACCTTTGCGTCCTAAATCCAGTTGGTGTTTCATGTAATTTCCAAAAGAGCATTTTCGTTTGATCTTTGGCTCTTGAGTAAAACTGTAAATATTGTTATGTTTACAAAAAAAAAATAATAATTCTAGAAGAACGTTGACGATTATTAGGAACCAATTATGACCTAGCAATCACAATAATTTTGGTATGCAGCTGATTGTGGAATTATTTATTGTGTGCTTTTGATACAGACATTTGCCGCCAAACTTATTTATTATCCCTCTGTGTGCTCGCCCGTGACATACTGTTCAGTTGACGCCTGCTTGACTTTTGGTCTGCTGGGTCAGCCACCTCGTGTTATTTCTATTTTTTTATTTAAAGTGTAGTACTTAAGATGGCAAGCATAAACAATACTTAAGATGGCAAGCATAAACAATACTTAAGATGGCAAGCATAAACAATATTTAAGATGGCAAGCACAAACATTCACTGCATGTCGGCTATAACTTACAAT